TAAAGTACAAGGACATAGAATGTACTACGTGCCTGTAAGCATGGCGTGTCTAACAGCTACATAGAACAGGGCTTCACAAAGTTATTAGCACACTTATTCTTTAATGAGAAAGGAAACTTTAAAAAGGACCTTTTCTACTTCCCACAGGGTCTCACTATATTGCCCAGACAGGTCCCAAACTCCTGGGCTCAGACAATCCTCCCCATTCTGCCTCCCTAAATGCTGGGATTACAGGTGTGATCCACAACACCTGGCTGGAAAGATGTTTTTCAGATGGGATTCACACCAACAGCCACAGCTGACTTTCAGCACAGGAGATGAGCCTTGGTGGTGTGAGTGGGCTGCCTCTGATCAGTGGAAGGTCTGAGGAGTAAACACCACAGTTTCCCGAAGAAGGAATTCTGCCTCAAGGTTGCGACCTAGAAATTCTGCCTGAGCTTCCAGCCTTTAAGACCGCAGTATCACCTCTTACCTGAGCCTCCAGCCTAACTGGCTTGTCCTGTGGATTTCAGACTTGCCAACCGTGATCGTGTGAGCTCATTCCTTGAATTAAATGTGTTGCAATCTCTCTGACGCTATTCTTAGAGCTCTATTTCTCTCTCTCCATCTTTGTATCTCTGTCTCCTGTCTCTCTCTAGCTTTCTGTATCTATGTCTGTCTCTATAGATTTTTTTTTTTTTTGAGACAGAGTTTTGCTCTTGTTGCCCAGGTGGGAGTGCAATGGGGTGATCTCGGCTCACTGCAGCCTCCTCCTCCCAGGTTCAAATGATTCTCCGGCCTCATCCTCCCGAGTAGCTGGGATTACAGGCACGCGCCACCACACCCGGCTCATTCTTTGTATTTTTAGTAGAGACTGGGTTTCTCTATGTTGGTCAGGCTGGTCTCAAATTCTGAACCTCAGGTGATCTGCCCACCTCGGCCTCCCAAAGTGCTGGGATTACAAGCATGACCAACTGTGCCTGGCATTTTTTTTTTTTGAGATATAGTCTCACATCATTGCCCAGACTGGAGTGCAATGGCACAATCTCAGCTCATTGCAACTTCCACCTCCCAGGTTCAAGTGATTCTCATGCCTCAGCCTCCCAGGTAGCTGGGATTACAGGAGTGTGCCACCACACCCAGCTAATTTTTTATTTTTAATAGAGACAGGGTTTCACCATATTAGCCAGGCTGGTCTCGAACTCCCGACCTCAGGTGATCCACATGCCTCAGCCTCCCAAAGTGTTGGGATTAGAGGCATGAGCCACCCCGTCCAGCCTACAGATCTCTATTTCTATCTCTATCTGTCTTCTATTGGTTCTGTCTCTTGGGAGACACCTGATCAATACAGAGAGGGCTCCTGTGAGGAGAAGTTTCTTGAGTCAAGACGCAGATGACCAGGGGGAACTGGCTTTGGAGATCTGGAGAAGATGGTTCCCACCAGCAGGAAGAGGAAGTGCAAAGAAAGACCCAAGACGTCTGCCGGGGCAGAGTGAGAAAAAGCACAGGGGCCCAAGCACAGAGGCCCCAGTGAAGGTCACTTATTGTCCTAGCCTGAGCTCAGGGGCAAGCTGGCAGCAAGCTTTATCTATATAGGGCCAGAGAACAGTTTTTAGCTTTCAGAGTCAAGAGGTAAAATCAAGGATATTACCAAGATACTCATGAAACAAGACAGAAGCCAGGCGCAGTGGCTCAAACCTATAATTCCAGCACTTTGGGAGGCCGAAGTGGGCAGATCACCTGAGGTCAGGAGTTCGAGACTAGCCTGGCCAACACGGTGAAACCCCGTCTCTACTAAAAATACAAAAATTAGCTGTGCATGATCATAGGCGCCTGTAATCCCAGCTACTCAGGAAGCTGAGGCAGGAAAATTTCTGGAACCCAGGAGGCAGAAGTTGCAGTGAGCCAAGATGACACCACTGTGCTCCAGCTTGGGTGACAAGAAAGAAAGAAAGGGAGGGAGGGAGGGGGGGAGGGAGGGAGGAATCCAGGCACAGTGGCTCACACCTGAAATCCCAGAACTTTGGGAGGCCAAGGTGGGAGGATGGGGGACCCAGTATCTATTATACAAACTTTGTTTTATTAATTAGCCAGGTGTAATGGTGAATACCTGTGGTCCCAGCTACTTAGGAGGCCAAGGTGGATGGCTTGAGCCCAGGAGGTCAAGGCTGCCATGAGCTGTGATTGTATCACTACACTCCAGCCTGGGCAGCAGAGCAAGACCCTGTCTCTTCAATCAAACAAACAAATGAAAGAGGAAATTTCCAGTCTGGAATATCCTGTTTGCTTAAGATGGGCCATCTGGGATGGCAGGCAGGCTTTGCTCCCAGCCACTGGAGACATTCTCTGGATAAAGAGCGACCCATCTGAGGCGTGTGACCTGGAGGGCCAGGAAAGTCGGGTTAGCAGGGATGGCGGGTGACCAACATAGTCAGTTTCCGTCTCTGCTCTAGTGACTCAGATCCCAGAGAATTTTTTCTCCAGAGAGCCTAGCTCCCATCTCTGCAATTCACCCAGCCAGGGATTCAGCAGGAGATTCCCCCACTCAGTGCACAGCGGCTGTCAACAGAGGAGACTCCAGCAAGTAGGTGGCCACCACCACACACTGGAGTTACAGGAGTGAGCCATCACGCCCAGCCGAGTTACTGATTTATTTTATATTTTATTTTATTTTATTGAGACAGAGTTTTGCTCTTGTTGCCCAGGCTGGAGTGCAGTGGCATGATCTTGGCTCACTGCAACCTCCACCTCCCATGTTCAAGCGATTCTCCTGCCTCAGCCTCCCGGGAAGCCAGGATTACAGGCACGCGCCACCACACTTGGCTAATTTTTGTATTTTTAGTAGAGACTGGGTTTCTCCATGTCGGTCAGGCTGGTCTCGAACTCCCAACCTGAGGCGATCCGCCCACCTCGGCCTCTCAAAGTACTGGGATTACAGGCATGAGCGCCCACGCCCGGCTGAGTTACTAATTTTTAAATAGTTTTGTTATGTGACTTCTACCCCAGTAAAACAAAATCTGCAGGAGCCACAGTGGCTCGGGCCAGTTGTCCTGGCGCTCGAGGAGGCGAGGCTGTGCATTCAAGGCCAACCTGGACAACATAAGAACCTCTCATTCATTTAAAAAAAAAATCCAAATAAGTAAGTAAGTGAGCTTGCGCTAGCTAGAGGGTAAAACACGAATTTTAAAGCAGCAACAGGTGAAGTAGGACATCTAGGCATCTAATGAGGAAGCCGCTGCAACAGTGAAAGCAAGATGTGAGGGCCCCTCAGTGCTCAGTCGGCTCGGGCAGCTCGGGCGCTGTAACAAGATACCACTGACTGCACGGCGTGAATGACAAGCGTTTACGTATCATAGTTCTAGAGGCTGGAAGTCCAAGAGCAGGGTAAGGTTCTGGTGAGGGCGCTCTTCCTGGTTTCCAGACGGCCACCTTCTTGCGTCTTCACGTGAAGGAGAGGGTGAACATCTCCTGTCTCTTCCTATATTGGTGCAGGTCCCATCACGGGGCTCCAACGCCATGACCTGGTTACCTCCCAGGGGCCCCATCTCCCAGCACCATGACATTGGGGATTAGGGCTTCAACATATATGTTGGAGGTTGGCAGGGGGAGGGGCGGACACGAACATTCAATTCATAGCACTGAGCTAGGATGATAGCAGGGATGGAAACCGGCAGTGGGATGTGAGATCTGGCTTGGAGCTTGACTGAACGGGACTTGCTGCAGGGTAGAACGTGAGGACAAGACAGAGGGAGGGACTCCCAGGTCTTAGGCTTGGTTTAGTGGGTGAACAGTGATTCTGATACCAGACCATGAGTTCCAGTATTTAAAATCCACGCATGAATGCATGCACGCTCCTGGGATCTGGGTCACTGGAGCAGAGAAGGAAACTGACTTTGCTGATCACTCCGCATCTCTGCCAACCTAACCCGCTCATTTATTTATCATACATGGACCTCCCCACACATATGCACACACCTGTGCAAGCATGCACGCACACACACGCCAGTGCACAGGTACACACATGCACACAGCACACACATGCACTCCCATTTGCACATACAATGCACATACATACATGCACACACATGCGCATGTATGTATGTACACAAATCACATGCACACAGACACACCACACATGTATGCATGCACCTGCCTGCATATCCACACACATGTGCACAATACAAACTTGCACGCACACAACTGAATACACAAACCCACATGCACACACCTCACACGTGCATGCCAACTCAGGCACACATACAGACACGCACACACAGAGCACACATCCACGCCTTCATTCTGCTCTCTCACTTTTCACATCAAACCACAACAGAAAGCCAGTGTGGCAGCTCACCTCTGTAATCCCAGCACTTTGGGAGGCTGAGGAGGGAAGATCACTTGAGGTCAGGAGTTCAAGACCAGCCTGACCAACATGATGAAACCCCATCTCTACTAAAAATACAAAAAGTAGCCGGATGTGGTTGGGGGCATCTGTAGTCCCAGCTACTTGGGAGGCTGAGGCAGGAGAATCACTTGAACCCAGGAGGTGGAGGTTGTAGTGAGCTGAGATCGTGTCGCTGCACTCCAGTCTGGGTGACAGAGTGAGACTCTATCTCAAAAAAAAAGAAAACAAAACCACAACATATTTTCTTATTTATGAGGTTTCTTGTCTCTCTGACCCCACCAGAAGAGGCCCACCGTTGAAGCAGGGGCCCTTGTCACTCATGTTCACTGCTGCATCCCCCACACCTAGAGCAGTGCGTGGCACACACAGGAAGTCCTCAGTAAATATTTCGTGGCCCCAAGTGATGTGTCAAAGAAGGGAAAGCTGGGGGCTCCCCACTGCACTTCCCACCTGAGTCACATTTTCAGAAGGCTCTGTAAAGTGTGAGAGTCTGCGTGAATGAGAGTGAGACAGGGCAGAGGCCGGGGGCAGCCGGGGGTGGGGGGACAGGAAGAAGAAGAGGCTGAGTGGGGAAAGGGGTGGGGCTGATCCCCGGCTCTAAAAGCGGCCCCCGGGTGCCTGTCCTCAGCGTTCACAGCCCAGGAGTGTTGAGCAATTCCGGTTTCCTCTGAGGTTGAAGGACCCAGACGTGCCAGCCCCGCTCCGAGCACCTTGGGCATGGAGGAGAGTGTGGTGCGGCCCTCGGTGTTTGTGGTGGACGGACAGACGGACATCCCGTTCACGAGGCTGGGACGAACCCGCCGAAAACTGTCGTGCAGGCCGGCCCCAGTGGGTCTGGGTCTCTTGGTGTCGCTGATGGGGGCTGGGCTGGCCGTCCAAGGCTGGTTCCTGCTGCAGCTGCACTGGCGTCTGGGAGAGATGGTCGCCCGCCTGCCTGTGAGTGGAGCCTGGGGGCTGACGGTCGGTGGAGGCTGGGTGGGGAGGGTCTCCTGTGTCACTGTGTGTCACTGCATGTGTGTGTGTGTGTGTGTGTGTGTGTGTGTGTGTGTACGCACAGGGCAGGGCACAGGCTGGGAACAGCTGGCTTGACCGGTTGCTGCTGTTATCCCCGGACAAGTGAATTCACCTCTCCAAACCTCAGCTTTCTCATCTACAGAGTAAGGGCAGTCTCTTCATAAGGCATGAAGAAGCATGTTATGGCATGCGTGGTACCAGATGGTGCCTGCTCTATGTCGCAACTGACACCCCAACATTGCTAGGCACACCCCTGTGCACACACACATGCATTTTTCTGTTCTTATTCCTGTTGCTGCGATTGTCATTAATTCTCTAACCATTTCCATCTGTGGGAATCTCTCTCTCTCGCTCTCTTTTTTTTTTTTTGAGATGGAGTCTCTCTGTCACCCAGGCTGGAGTGCAGTGGCGTGATCTTGGCTCACTGCAACCTCTGCCTCCCGGGTTCCAGCGATTCTCTGCCTCGGCCTCCCGAGCTGAGATGACAGGCACCACACCATCACAACTGGCTAATTTTTTTATTTTTTTTTTTGTATTTTCACCATCTTGACCAGGCTGGTCTTGAACTCTGAACTTGTGATCCATCCGCCTCAGCCTCCCAAAGTGCTGGGATTACAGGTGTGAGCCACTGCGCCTGGCCTCCATCTGTGGAAATCTCTCAAACTGCTTTCAGTTGGCCATGGATGTGTCTGCCTGTCTGTGTGCCTCACCTGTGGGTCTGCATGTGCCCAATACCCTATCCATATGGGTTTGGCCCCTTTTGTGTCCTGGGTCTGAATCCAGTGGCCGCACATTTGTGTCCATGTACCCATGTGGACGTATGTGCCTGTACCCACACGTCCACACACCCACCCATCTACAGCCGGTGTATTTGTGTTGTGAGTCTCTGTCTCTGGGTCTCTGTGTCTATAGACGCACGTGGATACATAAACCACAAATCACGTTTCCACATATCTGAGGCCATGTGTGTTTTTTCAGTGTCATGTCAACGTTGAGGTCTGTGCCCTGTGTCAGGTGCTATATCCTAAGGGTGGTGTCCATGTAGCCACCATATCCTTTGTCTGCTTTTTTTTTTTGAGACAGGGTTTCTCTCCCATCACCCAGGCTGCCGTGCAGTGGTGCAATGTTGGCTCACTACAACCCCACCTCCCAGGTTCGAGCGATTCTCCTGCCTCAGCCTCCTGAGTAGGAGCTTGGATTACTGGCATCTGACACTGCAGCTGGGCTAATTTGTGTATTTTTAGTAGAGATGGGGTTTTACCATGTTGGCCAGGCTGGTCTTGAACTCCTGACCTCAAGTGATCCACCCACCTCAGCTTCCCAAAGTCCTGTGATTACAAGTGTGAGCCACCACACCTGGCCTTATCCATGTATTTTAAATATGACTTATTCATTTACTTACACATTTATTTATCTTAGAGACAGGGACTCACTGTGCTGCCTGGGCTGGACTGCAGTGGCATGATCATAGCTCACTGCAGCCTCGAGCTCCTGGGCTCAAGCAAGCCTCCTGCCCCAGCCTCATGAGTAGCTGGGACTACAGGCACACCCCAGCATGCCCCGCTAATTTTTAAAATTTTTTGTAGAGACCAGGTCTTGCCGTATTGCCCAGGCTGGTCTTGAACTCCTGGCCTCAAGCGATCCTCCCACTTTGGCCTCCGAGAACGCTGGGATTACAGATGTAAGCCACCACACTGGACAATGTTACTTATTTATTAAACCCTTCTCTCTTTTTATGTTTTTTGAGTGTCATTCTGTCACCCAGACTGGAGTGAAATGGCACAATCTCAGCTCACCACAACCTCCGCCTCCCAGGTTCAAGCGATTCTCCTGCCTCAGCCTCCGGAGCAGCTGGGATTACAGGCGTGCACCACCACACCCAGCTAATTTTTGTATTTTTAGCAGAAACAGGGTTTTACCATGTTGGCCAGGCTGGTCTCAAACTCCTGACCTCAGGTAATCTTCCTGCCTCGGCTTCCCAAGGTGCTGGGATTACAGGTGTGAGCCACCATGCCTGGACTATTAAACCCTTCTCTAGCGCATACTATGTGCCAAGTACTGTAATAATGTTTTACATATATTAATTCATTAAATGCCAAGCAGACACTATTCATAACCCCATTTACACAGAGGGAAACTGAGGCACCAAGTGGTTATGAGGCTGCTGGGCAGGGTGTGTGTGTGTGCGAATAAGTGCATGTGGCCCTGTGTACGTGCCTGAGGGTATGTTGGTGGCTATGGTCCTCGTATTTCATAGTCGCCTGTGAGCAATGCGAGGGCGTGGCCCCACTGCCGGTTCTCACTGCAGGCTCCTTCTGCATTTTCAGGACGGAGGTGCAGGCTCCTGGGAGCAGCTGATACAAGGTGAGTCAGGGTTTTGGTCCCCGGAAAGGAGGTGAGACGATTCCCACGCTACCCCTACCCCTGGGTCAATTGCCCAATGTGATTTGCACAACTTACCAAATCCTCACAGGTGCCCCTCCCCCAGGCTGGAGAAGCAGAAGTGTGGGTTACTCCGGAAGGGGTGGGGTTGACTCCAGGAGGTAGACGTGATGACCCTTTAGCAGGCTGGCTTTGACTTCCACTGTTTCTGTCTCTCACCTCTGGCTCTCTTTCCCCAGAACGAAGGTCTCGCCAGGTCAACCCAGCGGCGCATCTTACAGGTGAGGGGGACCCTGGATCCTGGCATGGGGCAGGGGTCAGGGTGTCTCAGAAGACCAGATAAACGTCATGCATGAATGAATGAATGAGATCAGTGTATTCGTTTATTCATTCCTTCATCACAGGGTTGCTCAGAACATAGGCTGCAAGTGATACGTATTTCTAGTTTATTTATTATTCATTCTTTTTATTTATTTTTTGAGACAGAGTCTCACTCTATTGCACAGGGCTGAGTACAGTGGCATGGTCTCGGCTCACTGCAATCTCCGATTCCCGGCTTGGAGTTACACAGCAAGAGAAAGACACATGAGGCCAGCCACGGTGGCTCACTCCTGTAATCCCAGCACTTTGGGAGGCCGAGGCAGGTGGATCACGAGGTCAAGAGATCAAGGCTATCCTGGCCTTGATGAAACCCTGTCTTTACTAAAACTACAAAAATTAGCTGGGCGTGGTGGCACATGCCTGTAGTCCCAGCTACTCGGAGGCAGAGGCAGGACAATAGCTTGAACCCGGGAGGTGGAGGTTGCAGTGAGCCGCGATTGTGCCACTATACTCCAGCCTGGGCAACAGAGCGAGACTTCATCTCCAAAAAAAAAAAGTAAGACGTGCTGACCAGCAGCTCCCTTTGTTTCTCTCTCTCCCACCAGGGGCCAACTCCAGCTTGACGGGCAGTGGGGGTCCATTGCTATGGGAGACCCAGCTGGGCCTGGCCTTCCTGAGGGGCCTCAGCTACCGAAATGGAGGCCTGGTGGCCACCAAGGCTGGCTACTACTACATCTACTCCAAGGTGCAGCTGGGCGGTGTAGGCTGTCCGCAGGGCCTGGCCAGCACCGTCATCCACGGCCTCTACAAGCGCACGCCCCGCTATCCCGAGGAGCTGGAGCTGCTTGTCAGCCAGCAATCACCCTGCAGGCAGGCCACCAGCAGCTCCCGCGTCTGGTGGGATAGCAGCTTCCTGGGTGGTGTGGTACACCTGGAGGCTGGGGAGGAGGTGGTCGTCCGTGTGCTGGATGAGCGCCTGGTCCGACTCCGTGATGGCACCCGGTCTTACTTCGGGGCTTTCATGGTGTGAAGGAAGGAGCATCATGCCTTGGACAGGGGTCGGACAGGTGGAGGCCTCAGAGAGTGCCTCAGGAGACAGAAAACTCAGGAAGCAGAGGCAGGGCAGGGTGGCTGATGCCCGTAATCCCAGCACTTTGGGAGGCCAAGGCGGGCGGATCACCTGAGGTCTGGAGTTCGAGACCAGTCTGGCCAAGATGGCGAAACCCCATCTCTACTAAAAATACAAAACTTAGCTGAACATGATTGTGCTGCCTGTGGTCCCAGCTACTCAGGAGGCTGAAGCAGAATTTTGCTTGAACCTGGGAGGTGGAGGTTGCAGTGAGCCGAGATCGCATCAGTGCTCTCCAACCTGGGCAACAGATCGAGACTTCGTTTTAAAAAAAGAAAACTCAGGTCTTGGAGGACACCCCAAAACTCAAATGTGGAAAGCTCAGTGGGCACTGCCAGGGACCAAAAACTCAGACATCTCGAGATCTGAGGACCCAGGAGGCACCTTCAGAACACCCTTGTAGACTACAGACCCTGGCACAGACAATACTAAGTCAAAGACCCAGAGACTTGGGGTCTGTGGGCCCCCAAACGTTGGGTAAAGTTGATTTGCCTGATATTCAGGAAGACGGGGTGAGGGGTGGGTATTTATGCTTTTGATTCAGAAGAAAATAGGACTTGGGATTCCAGGGACTTGGCTGTGGGTGGAAAATGTTGTCCACTTCCCTACTCTCATGAGCACGGACAGGGTGGGCGGGAGACTGGTCATCAGGACACAGCCCAGCCCCACCCACCTACAGTCAGAGTCACATACTCAGATCAGATCCCACCCACAGATTTGTGGCCAAACTTCAGCCTGGTCACAAAGAGTTACACTCAGAAACATGGGCACAGCAATATACTCATAAATGTTTAATAACCAGCTGTCCTGCAAGAGGAACAGCGTTGTAATGTTTGCCAATTTCCATGGTGTAAATGCTACCAGCATGGCTGATTTCGTCACTGCCAAGCATAGACACCCCACTGGGACATCACAGCTCTGTCCGCGGCATGCAGCCCGGGGCCTGGCACAAAGCTGATGGAAAGGAAGAAAGAAACAGTGCCATACCGTCACACCTATGGCATCCCAGGAAATCGGTCACACGACTGTGAAACAGCCACTCTTTCACAACTATAGACTCACACACGCAAAGGGCCAGATTCACGCACAACCGCACCATCATGTGGAAGTCACAGACGGCATCACAGACAGCCGCAGCGCCGTGTGCAGGTTATAACACAACCACACAAAACTCAGACTATAGCCCAGCCACACAGCACCCCCACACTTGGTAATTAATACTCGTTACGTCAGACACAGACATGTCAATTATAGTCAGACCTGGTAACACACGCATACACACACACACAACATCACAATGACAAACACACATTACACACACACGTCACAATGACAAACACACATTACAAAACACATCACAATTACAAACAACATTGCACACACACACACACATCACAATGACAAACACACAACATTGCACACATACACACAGCCTGAGGGTCCTCCCCAGCCCAGACTAACACATCTTGGGGTGAGGACCACACTTTGTTTATAACCCTGGGCCTCTTGTCCACTGGTCTTTGAAATAAATGGCAAATCGCTCTACCTGGATCTGTCTAGTTCTTAGGGGAAGGAATTAAAGAAGGATAGAGTGGAAGTGTCAGGTCCAAAGAGCCTCACAGGGAAGGGAAAGAGTCAGACGGGGGGCAACCATCAGCGACAGGTGGTGGCTCCTAGAGGCAGAGGGATGGAGGTAATGACCCATGGAGGTCATGTTACAGATGAGGAGCCTGAACTCAGTTGGCCCACGTCCATGGAGGAAATGAGGGGCCAACCAGAGACCTCGTGCCTGGACCTGCCTTCCTCTCCAATCCACAATTCCTGAGGAAGTGGAGGCTACGTCCCACAAGACACCCTTATTAGACACACTCAGGAGAGAGTGACAGCCCACCAAGCCAGCTGGGAGCATAGAAAGCAGGGAGCTTGTGGGGGTGGGGGGGCAGGGGGGCAGATAATGATATGCATACAAATTAGAGAGTCTATGCAAGTGAGCATTGCCACAGTGTGGCTGGAGGGAATCCCTCGTTCCCAGGATTCTAGGATGTGGGTTTGGACCTCACAGGTGAACGTATTGTTATCATTGTTTTGTTGTCATTAATGACAAGACAAAACTTGCGGATTTTTATTGGTATTGCCAGTAGTATTCTTGTCACTGTCGCACAGTACAGGGGTGAAGGAAACAGGCTTTGCAATCAGATGAGCCTGGGTTCTGGGTCCACCCTGCCACTTGAGGGCTATGTGACCTCAAGCAAGGTCCATCGTCTCTCAGTGCCTCAGTTTCCCCATCGGTAAGATGCTTAGAGGGAAACAACAGTACAGATTGGCCGTCCCAAATTCAAAATGCTCCAAAATCTAGGCTGGGCGTGGTGGCTCATGCCTGTAATCCCAGCACTTTGGGAGGTGAAAGTGGACAGGCAACCTGAGGTCGGGAGTTTGAGACCAGCCTGGCCAACATGGCGAAACTCCGTCTCAACTGAAAATACAAAATATTAGCTGACTGTGGTGACAGGCACCTGTAATCCCAGCTACTCAGGAGGCTGAGGCAGAAGAATCGCTTGAACCCGGGAGGCGGAGGTTGCAGTGAGCCAAGATAGCACCACTGCACTCCAGCCTGGGTGACAGAGCGAGACTCCATTTCAAAAAAAAAAAAAAAGGCTTCACAATCTGAAACATTTTGAGCACCAATGTGATACCGTAAGTGGGAAATTCCACAGCTCAACACATGTTCACAGGTTGCAGTGGAAATGCAACCGCAAAGTTTACTCAGCATCCCCAAGGGAATGTCCCATCAGCTGCTATAAATCTTTTCCTCACATGCCAGATAGGTCTCTCATTTTTACAGTTAAGTCCTTCTGTGTGAGTGGGAGGAGGAAAGTGACTGGTCATTCAGAGTCTGGAGAGATGGTGATGCGGGCCGGAGGTGCTGACTCACACCCGTCATCCCAGCTCTGGGATTCCAGCTGAGGTGGGTGGATCACTTGAGGTCAGGAGTTCGAGACCAGCATGGCCAACGTGGTGAAACCTCATCTCTTCTAAGATACAAAAGTAGCCGGGTGCGGTGGCAGGTGCCTGTAATCCCAGCTACTCAGGAGACTGAGGCAGGTGAATCGCTTGAACCCAGGAGGTGGAGGTTGCAGTGAGCCGAGATGGCGCTACTGCACTCCAGCCTAGGCAACAGAGCAAGACTCCGTCTCAAATAAAAATTAAATAAATATAATTAATAAATAAAAGGAACGATGGTGATGCCGAACAACCAGAGATTGTCCACATGGGTGGCTGAGACAGTGACCTTTGCTTTCAAACGGTTCAACGTACACCAACTTTGTGTCATGCGCAAAAGTATTAAAACTATTGGATGAAATTACCTTCGGTCTATGTGTACAAGGTATGTAAGAAACATAAATGAATTTCCTTTTTTTGAGACTGAGTCTCACTCTGTAAGCCAGGCTGGAGTGCAGTGTTGCGATCTTGGCTCACTGCAACCTCTGCCTCCCGGGTTCAAGCCTCCTGAGTAGCTGGGATTACAGGTGCCTGTCACCACACCCAGCTAATTTTTTTTTTTTTCTTAGTCAAGACAGGGTTTCACCATGTTGGCCAGGCTGGTTTTGAACTCTCAACTTCAGGTGATCCAAGCCCCTTGGCCTCCCAAAGCGCTGGGGTTACAGGCGTGAGCCATCATGCCCAGCCTATTCAAGCCCTAGGCATTTGTGTGAGTTATACATTTATACATACTTCGGCTTCAGGCAGGAGCTGTTGCTGTCTGCACATTTGAGATGCAGAACTGTGACCTGAGAGAGGCAGAGATGTCCTTTCCCTCTGCCTAGGGTACGCAGTGGATTCAGGGCGGTTTCCTGCCCTCCCTGCCCTTGCTGGGCTGGTGGGAGGTAGGAGAGCCCCCGCTGGAGTTTCCTTCACTCTTATCATGGTCTTCTGTTTCTGTGGCTTTGATGAGGAAACCAAGGTGTGGCGACCGGGTATTGATAAGTCACCAGTAGCTACCAACTTCCGCCTGGGGATGGAACCTTTTGCTAAGTTTAGCCTCCAAAAATTCTGAGAGCGGTCCCTCAGCCTGGAGGAACAAGAGAGTGAGGAAGGAGAGGAAGGTAAGGAGGAGGATGGAAAGAGAGGGAAGGGTAGATGAACAAAGAGGGGAGAAGAGGAGGAGACCGAAGAAGGGAGGAGGTTGGAGAGGGAAAGAAGGCGGAAGAGCCAGAGGAGTGGGGAGGGGAAAGGAGACGGAAGGAAAAGAGAGGAGGGAGAGGGAAGACAGGGAGGGGAGGAAAGATGGAAGGAGAACAAGGAAAACCCCCGCAAAGACAGAAGCGGGTGCAATGAGAGACCTTAGACCCAAATCTGCCTTTCAATAAAGTTTAGGGGCGGAGAGCTGCTAGACCAGGCCACTAACCTACTTTTGACTTCTGAGAAGTTTATCTGCTTCGTTTCCGCTTTTTGCCTCCTGGGCCCCGAGCCTTTCCAGATAGCATCCTCCCCACCCCTCCAACCCTCGGCCACTGTCGACTCTTCCTCGGGACCTGAAGTCCACCGTCCTCACCTACCCCCAGCCCTCTGGGCAGGAAATCCTCCCCCTCTCTTCATCTCTTGCCAAGACCAAAAGGTGGCAGAAGTCAAAAAGCAATGAGGAGAGGACAAATGATTATTACCATTATTATTACCATTATTGAGACTGAGTCTGTCTGTCTCTCAGCCTGGAGTGCCACGGCGCAATCTCGGCTCACTGCAACCTCTGCCTCCCAGATTCAAGCAATTCCCCTGCCTCAGCCTCCCGAGTAGCTGGGATTACAGGTATGCGTAACCAGGCCCGGCTAATTTTGTATTTTTAGTAGAGACGGGTTTCTCCATGTTGATCTGGCTGGTCTCAAACTCCTGACCTCAGGTGATCCACCCGCCTCAGCCTCCCAAAGCACTGGGGTTACAGGTGTGAGCCGCCGCACTCGGTCGAGACAAAATTATTAATCCCATGGTAGGATGCTGTGTTCCTCCTGCTGAATGCCAGGGCACTTGAACCCTTGAGCTGCATCCTTGCAGAGAAACAGGATGGTTCTTATACAGGAGCCTGATGACCAGAGGCACGAGTCAATCAAGCAAGGTTTTGTTTTTTTTTGAGACAGAGTCTTGCTCTGTCGCCAGGCTAGAGTGCAATGGCAAGATGTAGGCTCACTGCAACCTCCGCCTCCTGGTTCAAGCGATTCCCCTGCCTCAGCCTTCCAAGTAGCTGGGACTACAGGCACAAGCCACCACGCCCGGCTAATTTTTTGTATTTTCAGTAGAGAGGGGGTTTCACCATGTTGGCCAGGATGGTCTCGATCTCCTGACCTTGTGATCCACCCACCTCAGCCTCCCAAAGTGCTGGGATTACAGGTGTGAGCCACGGCGCCCTGCCGTAATCAAGGTTTCTTAAGCCAGTTTTAGTGCACACCTGGGAAAATCACCAGCCACGGACACCTACCTCTGTGGTTACTTTTCCGAAGAATTTCAGGAGGTCTCATACTTTCATATTTACACATTTCCTTTTTTTTTTTTTTTTCTTGAGATGGAGTTTTGCTCTGTCTCCCCATCTGGCAGTGGTGCGATCTCGGCTCACTGCAACCTCCACCCCACCAGGTTCAAGGGATTGTTCATTTCCACAACTTCTGCAAAGTATCAGATACACAATGACAAGATCCTTGCTTCTTATAGATAGATAATTAGGAGTATACGGTGGCGATGTGTGCACATCTCTACTGCCAGATCATGCCATGGGGCACCAGTGCTCTTCTGCCATTTAGAGAGTCATCAGCCCCTTTTAGTTTAACCAGATTAGAGAGCCAATTTCAGAAGCCCGAGAAGCAACTCAGAAGCTCATTCTTTCTCTGGAGCACTTTTTTTTTTTTTTTTTTTTGAGCTGGGGTTTCACTCTGTTACTTCCTCATGCTGGGGTGAAACAGCGTGATCACAGTTCACCGCAGCCTCGAACTCCTTGGCTCAATGGATTGTCCCATCTCAGCCTTCCAAGCAGCTAGAACTACAGATGCGATGCACACTGCCACACCCGGCTAATTTAAAAAATTTTTTAGAGATGAGGTCTCGTTACATTGCCTAGACTGGTTTGAATTCCTAGCCTCAAGTGATCCTCCTGCCTCAGCCTCCCAGAATGCTGACATTTCTGGCATGAGCCATCACACACAGTCTAGAATAACTCTTGGTACCAAAATCTGTATTAATCAGGATTCTTCAGAGAAATGGAACCAACAAGAGAGAGAGAGAGAGAGAGTGAGTGTGTGTGTGTACACATACATATCAAACATTGGAGGTCTTTCAGCAGAGGACTGATGTGATTAGAAGAGTGGACTCACAGTACCTTGTCAGGAAGGGGGTGATTCATGGACGGAGAGGATTCTGATTGGAGAAGTAACAGCAGGCTCCAGCATCAAAGTTGGAAGGGAGGTTGTGAGGTAAGGTGACAAAAAGATAAGCTCAGACTTCCTCCATAAGGCTTCTCCTCAATCTTACTCACGTCCCATCTCCTCCATTCCTAGTGTCCA